GGTGCTGGGCACCAGGACGCCTGGGTTCTCTCCCCAGCACTGGGAGGGGTGTGCTTAGAACGGGGCCGGCTGGGATTTTAGTCTAACCCCTGGACTCCCCTCCCAGCACTCAAAATAGAACCCAGGAGTCCTGACTCCCACCTCTGCCCCTCCCCTGACTCGAGTCTCCTGGAGGCTGATATTATCTGTCCAGAAGCTGAGATGGCTCAAACTCACAAGAACAAAAGTAGCCTCCGTGCTGTCCCCCTGGGCCCTGGGGCAGGAGATGACCCCCCGCTTTCTCTCAGATGAAGACCCCGCTCTGGGTTTGACACTCACCCCTTCGCCTCTGCCTGTCGCCATCCACACAGGGAGCTCCCACCTCAGTGGATTAAACGCCGTGGCCTCCCTTAGGTCAATCACATCACCTCCCCACAATCTTACACATGGGGAAACTGAGGCGCCATTTGCCCACCTGGCAAATCAGTGACAGAGCCAGCCCGGGAAGGAACCCAGGCGTCCTGACTCCCAGCATTCCCCCCTGCCTCCTCTCCTAACTGGGGTCATGATGAGAAGAAGCTGCTGGCGAGGGGAAATTGAGTGGCACCGTGACCCGCACGGTCACCTCAGGCCCAGTGATGGGTTAGGCCGGCCCTGTACGCAGCCCATCAAGGAGGCAACGGGGACCCAGACCCAGCCCTGGCTCCCAGCTCTCCGGAAACCACCTTCCCCTGGCAGGAGCTGACAAAACCCCCAGAAACCAGGACTTTCCCCTGGCACCCAGCTTCCCATCTCCCGTGGCAGAGGGTATCTGCTGTGTCGGAGGATGGCAGGACACCCCCAGGGCGGCAGGAACGGAATAAGCAGCCCCCAGCGCAGGTTTGCTCCTGCCCCAGCTCAGTGAGAGGTTGATTCACGCCCTGATGCAGGAGGGCTTGTTTCCCAGGTGTGTATTTTTATTGTGGAGGGTCGTTAGCCACATAAATGTCATATGGCCCAGTTCAATTCCCTTCTGTCAGACACAGCTCCCTCTCTGGGTGCCACCCTGGCAGGGCAAAGGGGCCTAAAACAGGGTGGAAAGGACCCCCGCAGACTCCCCCCCATCTCCCAGACCCCACACATAGGTGGCGCAGTGGCTACGCTCTACGCCCCAGGGCCCATAGGGGGTGGAGCGGGAGCATGGCCTGAGCTAGACGCAAGGGGCTGGCCAGGTCCAGCATGCAGGGAGCAGATGGAAAGAGACCCACAACCAGGCAGGGGAGAAGCTGCACCAACCCAGGGAAGCGTCAGTATTTCCCGAAGGCACAAGGCCTGTGTTAATGGAACTCCCCCATCCTCGCTGGAATAAGTGCTGTCCCTGCAAAGGACTCGCACAGCCCCCCCCACGGCAATATCTGAACACCTCACACCCACTACTGCATTTAGCCTCACAACTGCACAGAGGGGAAACCGAGGCAGGGAGAGGCTAAATGACTCACCCACAAGCCACTGTCTGCAAAGTCCAAGAATGGCACCCTCACCACTGGGCCATCCTTTCTACCAGCACCTGCCCCGCTGTGGAAGGATCAGAGCCCCATAAGGACATGGGCATGGCTTGACTGGCAACTATGTGGCAGGGTGGGCTTTTTGTTCTGTGTCTGTATGGCACCTGGCACCATGGTACCCTGGTCCCTGGCTGCAGAGCTCCAATGGTACCTGTGGCATAATGGTGTGTGACTAGCGTGGCACCAATTACCATATCCCCTCGGATCCAACGGTACCAGGTCCCGTGCCCACCCGCAGGGCTGCAGCAGTACCAGTTACAACCCCTTCCCCAGTGGCATAGCTAGGCATGGAAATTTAGGTGGGCCCCAATTGATGGTGGACAGGCAACAACCAAAGGTCTGAGGTCCCAGCAAACCATTTCCATGGCACATGAATAAATTCACTTCAAAAAAAACATTTACTTAAACTTGGCATTCACACAGACTCAGGTTTGGATGGGCCTGGGTGCACCAGGGACCACCCATTGCTATGGATTCTCCCCGCCCCCCATCCTCGCATACGGTTCCAGTGGTACCAGTTACTAGACCCATCTTCAAGGCTGCAGCGGCATCAGTTCCAGTCCCCTAGGGGACTAAGGCAGTACCCAGTCCATGCTGTCCAGGTGTCTTATGGGAGCTGTAGTTCAGGTCTCGCATGTCCCCATTCTCTTCTATGGGCTAGGCTCCCTGGCCAGACTACATCTCCCATCATGCTCCATGGTCTTGCCTCTTGGAGATGGGTGTTGGTGCATCACGGGAGTCCCACAGCTGCAACACATCATGGGAGATGTAGGCTGGTTGGGGAGCCCAACCCATAATAAAGAATGGGGCTAAGAATCACCCAAACTACAACTCCCATGAGGCACCTGGGTAGCATTTCTGAACTGAGATATTCTGGAGTTTTGGGTATTCTTTGATTCTGAACAAAAAGTCAAAATTTTCCACAAGAAGCAGCCACTTCTCACAGGACGTTTTGTTGGGTCGAGTCCTGATTTGCTGCCGAAGAACAGCTGCGATGGAGAATTTTCCAACCCGCCCCATTCCCTGGGGAGCGGTGGACCTGCCAAGGGGCTGGGCTGGCAGAGCAAGGACAACGACCACAAGGAGTCGTTGATCGGTGCAGTGGTGGGACCACCTGATTTCTTGAGGTTCCTTTCAGCCGTAAGCTTCTGGGTTCGTGTGGGTCAGCTCTGGGGGTCTCTGAAAGTACTGATGAGCTTCTTCCAAAGTCCCCGGAAGGATCCAAAAGTGCTTCCTTCACGGGCAGGCTCCTTGCATATCTGGGCATGCTGGGAGGTTGGTATCTTCCTCAGAAGCAGGTGGCTTGGCAGATGCCCAAGGAAAATCCACCCGAGGGCGGCACTGAATGGTGGGAAATGGCCCCCCTACCCCCTTGGAGCTGCCCCCGGCATTGGGGAAACCGTGGGCTCTCGTTGGCATTTTCCCAGCACGCCTACGTCGGAGGTGGCCCATTGACGTACCTCAGCATGAAATGGAAGGACCGGACGTAGCAGGGCGTTTCAGCGCGGGAGAGAAGGGAGGTGCCGGCCAGGAGGAGCAGGAGCAGCCCAGCCACAGAGAGCAGCAGCCTCTTCGTTCTGACCAGGATCCTGGAGCCTGCCCGAGGTTGATCTGAGAAAGCCAAGGGCTGTGACATAGACCTGGAGGCACGAGAGATGCCAGGATTGGAGTTGGCATGTGGGGGGGCGGCGGAGGGGGAACAGAACAAGAGTCATAGGAGAGGCCCGCTGCAGCTCAACCCCCCTCCCTGCGAGCCCCAGGGAAAAGGGGAGCATGGACTGTGGAACTCCCAGCCACTGGAAACCGGAATGGGCTCCAATGGGATTCGCCGCTCCCAGCGTCCCTTTCTCTGCACCGCTCTGTCCCCTGGCTGGGGGACCAAAGCCCCCTCCCTAGGGGTGAACCCCAAAGTCAGTGGAGTGGGGAGGGAGCCTGGCAGCGGTTTCAGACAGAAATGCGTCTGGAGACCTTCGCTCCAGGGTGTGGGAGAGGGGCAGGTCTGGCGGGGGCTGGAAAGGAGGGTGGTTAGCTAGATACAAGGAGGGGGGGCACTAGAAAGTCTGGGCTGGCTTCTTGGCTGGCCCGCTGAGAGGTCCACACCCTGCACCACCTCTGCCCCTCACGTCTCAGCCTCATTTGCCCAGGCCCACCGGGCAACCCAGCCACCACCGGGCTGCGCTCAGACTGCTCCAGCCACCCCTTGGGAACATCTGCTCTTGCTCTCCGTAACCCTTTGCAGGTGGGCAAGGACCCACGGGGTGGTGACCTGGAACAGACGGCTGGAGGCACTGGTGCAACGGGCTAACCCACCCCACTCCCAGGAAAGCCGGCGTGGGGGAGGCAGGGCTGGGAGGTGGGGAGATGCCAGGCCTGGGGTTGGGGTGGGGGGTGTCGGGGCAAAGGACATCTGTCTGTCATTCCTGTCCCTCTGGCTCAAAGCAGCAGCCCCTTACCCCTTCTCAATGATGACTGCCACGTCCTCAGAGCCGGGACCGGCCTGACTCCTCTTGCAGGGCTGCAGAAGGAAGGACGGAGAAGGGGGCCGTTAGTTAGGGCTGGATGGGGCCCCAACACCCCCCCTCGAGCTATGGGCTCTGCATGGCCAGCGCATCCGAGGTACCAGCCTCGAACCCACCACACGTGGGGCCTTCTTCCTTAACTCACGCGGGGGAAGGAAACTTTACAGCGGGAGAGGTGCTGTCTAGTGGTTAGAGCGGGGGGCTGGGAGCCAGGACTCGGGGGTGCTATCCCCAGCTCTGTGGAGGAAGGGGATCTAGTGGGCTCAAGCAGCGGGGGGTTGGGAGTCAGGACTCCTGGGTCCTACCCCAGCGCCAGGGAGGGGAGTTATGTCTAGCCCCATGCTTGGCTCATGAGCTGGGTGGGCATAGCTCTTTCTAATTATCGGCAGTACAAGGGGGCCTCCCCTCCCGGGAGTGGCCAGGCATGTCCCTGCTTAGCTTGGGGACTCTGACGGCATCCCAGCTGAGCCCTAATGCTTGGCCTGCCCGGGGCTGGACGCTGGGACTGGCAGGGCCAGCCAGGTTCTTGTCTTTCCCAGCCGCTGCTGCAACCACCCACGCTTGGCCCTGCTGCTTGGGGAGGGGAAACTGGGGGGCGGCCCCATCGCGCCGAGCCCTGCGGGTGAGGGTGGATAGAAAGGGGCAGGGGCGAGACCAGAGGGGAGGACACCCCACCCCCCAGCCCAAATCCCACTTGCATCAGCTCCCCCTAGGGTGCCCCATCCCTGCAGAGGTCACGGGGATGACCCCCCAGACCACCTGATCAGCACCGTCATCCCCAGCAGGGGAGGGAAGGCCGCATGGAGCTTGGGGCCGGGAGAGATCTAAGCCCCGCAGACACTGGGGATGTGGGGGTGCCAGTAGTTTGGGGTGCCTGGCCCGAGACCCCCCCTGCCCCCTCCAGGGTGCAACAGCGCTCACCTGCATCACTTCCAGCTTGCCCTGCTCCACGCAGGTCTGGCCCAGCCAGCTCTCAATCCGCTCGGGGTCAAAGCCCACCGTCTCTGTCTGGCGGCAGGCCTCGTTCCCCAGTGCCAGGCCCTGGGGATGCCGGCTGCCCCGCCGAGGGGCATTCCCTAAGGGGAGAGGATGGCGGGGGCGTGACTGCCAGGGGCAGGGCTACAAGAGAGAGATCAGCCCAGGGGAGGGGAGGGGAGGAAGGATGACCTGGTTATTAGGATACCAACCTGGGAGACGGCAGGGCTGGGGGTTCAAATCCTTGCTTTGCTACAAGCTCCTTGGGCAAATCACTTAGCCACTCCATGCCTCAGTTCCCCCTTCTTTGCAATGGGGATACCAGCCTTACAGGAGAGTTGAGAGGATACATACGCTACAGATTGTGAGGCCCTCGGCTAAGTAATGTGTGGGGCATCAGCAGGTGGCTCAAAGGAGTTAATAATGGGGGGCTACAGAGCCGGTGGCATGGACTATGAAGCCCTTTGTCTTCGGGGTGCTGGTCTGATACCATCCCACCTCAGTACGTGCTAGCAGTTCATGGCTGTTGGGTGGCTTCCCTACTGTGAAATGAGTTTGTCAGGTCTCAGTCCAGTCCCCCCCCCCAGCAGAGGGGCCCAGAATTCAAGGGCCCTGGAGACCGAGCTCATCCCCAGAAGCGATGTCTTTCCAGAGCAGCGTCTGAGAAAGATCTCGGGGGCTGGCTGGGCAGGATCTTTCACCAGTCCTGAGCCTGGATGTTTTATGCAGCAGAAAACCGTCCCGCGCTGAAATGCACTGAGCCCTCACAGCTCATTTCACGCCAGCCACAGTGCCGGGGCTATGGACAACCAAAGGCCAGATTCAAGCCCATAAAGGACCAAAGCCCTGACCTGGTGCATAAAGTACCTTTCACCGTAAGTACCTACGCGGGAAGGAGAGATCAGATAGCAGAAGACTCGTTTATAGGAGCACAGACAGGCAGAGTGAGATCAAGGTGCTGGGCGGGGAAGCTGGATAAACTAAGAATTAACCATTGGAGCAGCCCCTTAGGAGACACGGTGGATTCTCCATCGCTCTCCACCGAGATCAGATGCTCTACCTCAACCACCAGATCTGGGCTGGCTGCAGCCTGGCTGATCGGAATGGTCCCTTCTGGCCTCAGAATCTATGAATCACCCGGCTCCCGCCGGTCTGTTTCCAGCCGGACTGGGGGAGTCTATTCAGGCGGACTACAGCTGGGAGAAGTGTTTCAGTTTTCGGTGACAAATGCAGATTCGGCACGTTTTGCAAACCAGTGACGGTTTGGCCGCCTCGTTCGTGTCGCAAAAACCAAACCACAACCAGACCCCGGCGGCAAACACACAACTCTGAAAAAGCCCAAACGGTTTCGAAACAAAAAAGTGTCTTGGTTTCTTTCGCTCCAAACGACTTGGGGTTTTAAAAATCCCTTCGATTTCACTTTAAAAAAAATCCCAAACAATTTAAACAAGGCTCGGACACGAAACACATCATTCAACCCGAAGCAAGATTTTTTTCCATGTTTTGATTTGCCCAAAATTCTGATTTTTTCCCCCCATAGATTCAGAGATCACAAGGCCAGAGGGGCCCACTGCCATGAATTAGTCTAGTCTGGCCTGTGGAACGCGGACCAGAGAACGGCCCTGAATTCATTCCTGTTTGAACTAGATTGCCTGTTATTTATACAGCTTTAGAACATAAGAACGGCCATACTGGGTCAGACCAAAGTGGCCGGTGCCAGGTGCTTCAGAGGGAATGAACAGAACAGGGCAATTATCAAGTGATCCATTCCCTGTCGTCCAGTCCCAGCATCTTTTCTTATGACCCCACAAGTCTCCCCTCAGCTAGTGGGAGCTACCTAGGGGCTTTCTTGGTAGTGGATAGGCAGTGGTTAGCTGGACTGGACTGTGACGGGCCAGGAACCAAGTCACTTACCGGAACTGTCCCAGACAATTTCCACCTTCCTTCTGGTCGCCAGGGAGAGACAAGGCCCGTCCTGGGAGCCCAGCTGCGCCTGTGTTTCCCCTCGAAAGGGAACGGCCTGCTAATGATAGCCATGCTCAGCCCCCACTGGCCAAAGCCGCCTCCATCAACCCTGACAGCTCCTCCCCAGGAGACAGGGTGTCTCATGCTTGGGTTACAGGGAATGGAGGGACACCGTCCCAGCACCTATCCTCCCCCTGCACCTTCCCCGCTCAGAGCTGGGGATAGAACCCAGGTGTCCTGGCTCCCAGCCAACTCTGTTCTAACCACTAGACCCCACTCCCTCTTACAAATAGGGAATCACCTTGTCTCTGGTTCCCAGTGAAGCCCGTTAGCAGCAGGGGGTCGTGTTAGGCGAGGGAAGCCCACCCTGCTACTGACCGGGCTACGGCTGGTTTAGGGCTAGACAGAGGCTGCAGCGGTTTTGCGGTTAAGGTGCTAGGCTGGAACTCAGGAAACCTGCATTCAAGTCCCAGCTGTGAGAGACCCTGCGCCAGTTACTGCATCTCGCCGGGCCTCAGTTTCCCCACCACTCAAACAGAGATAATCCCACTCTGTCTGAGAGTTCTCGGAGGTACGGCTGGTCTGGTGCCCTGATCTTAGCTACTGTGTCTGGGCAGCACCTGGCGCCGTGGGGCCCCGATCTCAGTTACCGCGCAGGGCCCGGAATTTCACTACGGGGGGCTGCTGCTGTAAAGCAGATAACAATGAAATGCAGAGAGGGGGAACGTGACATAGACGGATCCTACGTGGGGAGGGAGGAAACACAAGGCTAAGGGCTGAGAATTGGTCCTGGGAATTAATCAGACCCCCGGGCCTCCGCAGAGGTACCAGCGATTGGGGGGGACCAAAGGGGATTGTCCCCCACATACACTTTTTAAACATAGGGGTCCATGCCTCCCTTGCCCTTTTGAGAACCTGAACTCAGCAGAGGAGCTGTGGGGGAGGGCGGGGAAGCATTCCCCCCTCCCCCACTGGCCCCGTCCGGAGCTGGGCGGGGTGGCCCTGCGACCTGGGACTGGGCCCCCCCGACTTTTGCTGTCCATCCCTCACCCCTGGGCCACTGCTGCGTAAAACCCCTTCCAGGACTTTGTTTCCATGCTCCCCGATGGGGTGGGTTTCATCACACCCGAAACACCCCCCCTCCCCAGCCGGGGCCAGCAGTGTCACGCATGTCACAGTGATACATGTCACGCAGTGACCCCTGTATCGAGCCCAGCCCCCCTGGGATGGACTCCAGTAGCTACCTACGTTCAGGTCCTCGTGGCCGGCGCCTCTCCCGCATCCAGCCGGCCAGATGCTGGGCGTGCCCAGCCGGGAGCTGCACCTCCGGCCCGGCTCCTCCCACTGGCCCACACCTGGAGAGAGGGAACGGCGGCTGGTGGTATCTGCCCCTTTAAAAGATCCCCCGTGACCCCCGGGAGCTGCTGCAGCAAAGTTGGGCTGGCCCAGCTCGGCTGCCCCCCTTTAAGGCACTGCCCCTTTAAGGCAAGGGGGGTGGGGGGGGTCTGTGCACCCCCAACCCATCTCCAGGGCCAGGAGCTGCTGCCCTTACAGCTCTGCCCCAGCTGGCATGGGAGGGAGGTGGCAGCTGGGTCATTGTTGGGGGTGAGGGGGCCAGTCCCTTTCAGGGTGGCCCACCCCTGCCATATGGGAAGGAATCTTTATGGAGAGAGGTGTTGTCTAGTGGGTTAGAGCAGGGGGGGGGGCAGTCAGGACTCCTGGGTTCCATCCCCAACTCTGGGAGGGGGGTGAGAAGCCACCTCCTACCCATCATCTGGGGCAGTTTGGGGGGGGCTCTGCCCCTTTAAGGACTCCTCTCCCCACCACTGCAATTCAGGGCAGCCAGGGTCCGCGACCCATGGCAGCCCGTACCCGTGATGGCGCTGCAGTACGATGAATCCTCTTCGTCATGAGACGTGGACCCGCCCACGTCCACCGAGGGGTCCCACTCCAGGTCCAGGCTGTCCCCCCAGGCAGCCCCGAACGGATGGCGGCGCCGGCAGCAGAGAGCCTTGTGCGGGGTGGACTGGTAGATCCAAGCAGCGGGCGGGGGCCCCCTGGCTTCTCCCTCAACCTCAGGCTCCGGGGACGCGTCTGCGAAGCAGTCAGACTCCGCGTCAGTGTCTCGGTCTGACAGCCACTCGTCCTCAAAGACCTGGTGGGTGGGTGAGCAGGAAGGGTCAGCAGGAAAGAGACAGCAGCTCGCTAGGCCTTCAGTAGCCTTTAACTAACCCTCCTGCAATGGATTCTGCAAGGGGCAACTCCAATACACCTGAGCTATAGGAGAATCCCCAGACATTGTTGGCAGTATAGGGGCTATGACACACATTCAAATAATTTTTATTCTACCAGCAGAGGGCAGAGAAGCACACACGAACTTGTAAATGATAATATCTCACCTGACAATCCTCAAGCACTTTGGAAACTGATACCCAGAAATCACCTCATCTAGCTCTGTGGGTACAGCTGCAGTTGTTTATCCAGAGATCCCTCCCCCAGGGCAGAGATGCCCTCACCTTCGGGATGGGATATGGCAGCTGTTTATACAGGGATCCCTCAGTGCTGAGATGCAGCTGCCTCTGGGGTGGGGCACGACAGCTGTTTATAGAGAGCTCCCTCACCCGGTGCTGAGATGCAGCCACCTCTGGGGTGGGGCGCAGCAGCTGTTTATACAGAGCTCCTTCACCCGGTGCTGAGATGCAGCCACCTCTGGAGCGGAACACACAGCAGCCATTTAACAGCTGCAGAGCAATGCTGCACAACAGTTGAGGAGCGGAAGCGAAGAATCCTTTGACCAGCTGAAAACGCAGGGGGGGGGACTTGGGAAGGTAAAAACGCAACGGTTCACAAGGAAACGTGGCCACGACCCAGGCGTTTCGTAGCCCAACTCTTGCCAAAAAACACACCATAATAAGCACCCGGTGCCTAGACCTCTCCCCTCACCAGCACAACAAATGCAGCCTCTGCCACCAAACCTGGGCCTTGGGGTCTGGCGAGAGCCCCCCGCTCTGCTTCTTGCAGCATGCCAGTTGGAATCAGCGGACTTAGACTGGCGCGTACTTCCCTCTGTGCCCCCACCCCTCTCCCTGCAGCACAGCGCCCCCTAGTGCTGCACTGAGGCATTGGGGTAAGCGCTGAGTGCATGGGGAGAGCGCCCCCTACTGAGCTCCCAACCCCACTCCCTGCAGCACAGCGCCCCCTAGTGCCACACGGGGACCAGCACTGACTGCAAGAGGAGCGTGCCCCATTCTCTGCTCCCACCCCTCTTTGCAGAAGAGCGCTCCCTAGTGCCACCGTGGGGCATTACAGGCAGCACGGAGTGAGAAGGGAGCACTGCCCCACAATGTATTCCTCACAGTGGTGGCCCTGAGGATTTTCCTGGTAAATCTCCCACTCATAGTCTGGGCAGGGCTGAGAGCGCCCAGGTGCCCGGCGATGGTTGAGCCGCCGTGCCCCGTGGCGCGGGCTCCGCCCCACACGTACCAGCCTCATGCTGACCAGCCGGCGGCGGAAGCGAAACACCCGCCAGAAGACCTCCTGGCAGTAACAGCTCAGCTCCTGCAGCTCCTCCTCCAGGATCTCGGCGTCCTGCGGCTCGCTCCTCTGGATCAGCCGCTCGCCGGACACCAGCAGCCAGTCGAGCCGCTCCGCGTTGGACTGCACGGCCTCCTGGAACTCCTGGGACAGCGGGGAGACGTTAGCCTCCTTGCAAACTGCCCCGGGCACCTTAGCAGGCATGGCCTCCGATTTCTATCTTACCCCAAAGACTTCCAGCAGCACAGCGCCCCCTACTGCCGTGCTGGGGCACTGGGGTTTGCACTGGAGAGCACCCCCAATTGAGCCCCACCCTGCTCCCTGCAGCACAGCGCCCCCTAGAGCCACCGTCTCAACGCTGCCCCAGAGAGAAGGGCAAGACCAAATGAAGGGCCGATCCCAACACCTGCGAGGCGTGGTCGCCCCTCCAGTTCCTGACCCTGCTGAGCTTGCCAGAACGGAGCGGCTTGGCGCCCAAGGTCACAGGGCTGCGGCAGCGCAGCCGTTGGGTTTATTACGTGCTGTCGAGCGGCCCAGGGACAGGTGCGATCGCTAACTGGAAGCGAGAAGCTAATCTCGGGATCGATCTGGCGTTCCCACAGGTTTCCACGCAGAGGCTGGCCGGTTTGAGCAAGCAGAGGGCTGGTAATGCACATCAGCACCTGTTCCCTCCCGCCCCCAGTGTACAGAGCTGGAGGCGAGGGGAGGGTTTGGGAGACCAGTCAGCCTTGGGATATTTTAATACTGCTCGGTGCCTTCAACCGAAGGACAAAGTCCACCCAGACACGGACAGAGCGGTGGGTGGAATACCGCCTGTTGACTGAGATCACTGGGCTGGGACTCAGGAGATGTAGCCTGCCAGGTGACCTGGGGCAAGCCACGTCCCCCACTCCATGCCTCAGTTTCCCCATCTGTCAAAGGGGGTGAACAATACTGCCTCCTTCGGGAAGCGCTTTGAGATCTGCTGAGGAAAGAGCTAGGGATTCGTGGAAGAAAGGGAGAGCTAGTTTTCCACTGGCCTGAGGCCCGGCAAACTCATCTCACACAGGCCGGCAAATGGCCCATCCAGGGGAAACACTCATCAAGTTTCAATCCCTATTGACCATGGCCCGATGGGAACTGGTGACCTAAAGGTGAAAGGGTGCACAGCTCAGCCCCAAGCCCCAGCTCCCGAGGGCCCAGGAAAGTGTTTTATACAGGGAGCCTGCAGCTATCCGTCCCTGCGCAGCACTTTGATCCAGGTGATCGCAGCAAATATTTCAGTTTCCTCTCTGAAAACCCACCCGCCTTGTCGCTTACGGACTTTTAACGTTTACGATCACAGGGGTGGGGTGTCTGTCTGCTGCCCCCTGCTGGCGGGGATGAGCCCTGCTCTGTGCGTGCGCAGAAAGGGAGAGAAGGTACAAAAATGACACTGGATAGAAGAGTTCACTTCCCCGTAGACATGAGACCAACCCAACCTACCCTGATCTACACGACTCCAAGCTTTAGGGAAGTCTGAGTTTGTGTTTGAAGGAGGCGACATGGAGTCAGGACTCCTGGGTTCTATTCCTAGCTAGCCTCCTTGTAGGACTTTGGCAGAGTCACTTCCCTTCTCCGTGCCTCAGTTTCCCCATCTATAAAAAAAAAACTCAGAGGAAGCTATCGACTTGTATCCCTCAGGGGCTGAAGTTATGAAGGTGCTTGGAGATCCTTGGAAGGCAGATGCTAGAGCATCACTGGGAGAAAATATTCCCAAGCCGGAACTAGCCTGGTTTGACCCCCCCTGACAAAAAGACACACGCTATCCTCCGGAGCCTATGTATTATTTTTTAACCCTTAGATCGCCACCGTTTCTCTGAACGTATTGGCATCTCAGCACCTGACAGGTTAAGTGAAACGTGTCACCCGAAACCAGTTCGGCCGGACGTCATGCTCTAAAAATAAAATTTCCCCTTCGGTGAACCAACATTTTCTGTGTCAACAGATGATCAGGTGTGTGCCTGTGTACACATGCATCTCTGCACGTGCACTTTCCCCTTTCACGTCGCTGGTGCGACCCGCCTGCAAACAATCGGCCACAGAACAATGAGGGTACTTTGCTCTCTCACTGGTGTTCCAATTCAAAGCTTATCACAGACATTAATTGATAGCTCATGAGTTCTGAGCCCTCCCCGCTTCCCATCAGAGGGGCTAGGGGAAGAATATGCAAGGGTCACTTCCCCCTGTGCAGAAATGCAGCCACCTCTGGGGTGGGACGTGGCAGCTGTTTATCCACCGCACTGGGACACCGGGGTAAGCACGGATTCAGAGGGGAGAGCACTTGCTACTGAGCCCTCACCTGGCTCCCTGCAGCACAGCGCCCCCTAGAGCCACACTGGGACATAGGGGTCAGCACCAACTCCAAAGGGAGTGCACCCCCTACTGAGCCCCCCACCTCACTTGCTGCAGCACAGCGCCCCCTAGTGCGGCACCAACTCCAAGATGAGCGGACCTGCTACTCAGCCCGCACCCTGCTCCCTGCAGACCAGCGCCTCTCGCACATTGTGCAGGATCATTCTGAGATGAGGCTGCACAGACGTGTGCATTGCACGGATGCATCTGGGAGTTGCAAGGGGCCAATACGATATATACATGCCCAGCGATCCCTAATCCTTCACAAGAGGACGTTCTCATCTTACCTGCAGCTCCATCATTTTCTCGAGCGAGCTGCCCCCTGAGAAATGTTCCACATCGGTGAGCCGCAGATCCAGCTCCGTCAGCCACACCTGCACGTTCTCCCGCTCCCACTCAAACTCCTCCCGCTGGCTGACAAAATACTGAGGGGGGGGAGAAGCAAACAAACAAAAAAACCAAACAACAAACAATCAAACAGAGCCAGCAGGTTTAGCAGGAAGTCGGACATCAGAAAATTCACGTTTCAGTGTCCTTCTGCCTAACGCTAATGATGCTGGAGATTATTAATTATTATAATAAAGGGCCAGGATTTTGAATTCTTGACACGTTTGCAGAAGTGGCTGGTAATTTTTACACGCCCCTCTTTGTTTTCGCCTTAAGCCCAAGAATCTCTTGGGGGCAGACAAACTTTTTGTTCGGTGTTCGTACGCCGCCTGGCACAACAGGGTACTGGTCCACGCCTGTGGCTTCTAGGTGCTATCACGATACAAAGGGTGAATCAATAATACTACTAATTCATCAGATGCCTGCGTGGTATCCCTGAGTTTCTGACACTTTGATCTTTCTCATAGAATCATAGAACTGGAAGGGACCTCGAGAGGTATCTAGTCCAGTCCCCTGCACTCACGGCAGGACTAAATATTATCTTCTAGACCATCCCTGACAGGTGTTTGTCTAACCTGCTCTTAAAAATCCCCAATGATGGAGATTCCACAACCTCCCTAGGCAATTTATTCCAGTGCTTAACCACCCTGACAGTTAGGAAGTTGTCTCTAATGTCCAACCTAAACCTCCCTTGCTGCAGTTTAAGCCCATTGCTTCTTGTTCTATCCTTAGAGGCTAAGATGAACAAGTTTTCTCCCTCCTCCTTATGACACCCTTTTAGATACCTGAAAACTCCTATCATGTCCCCTCTGTCTTCTCTTTTCCAGACTAAACAAACCCCGTTTTTTCAATCTTCCTTCATAGGTCCTGTTTTCTAGACCTTTAATCATTTTTGTTGCTCTTCTCTGGACTTTCGCCAATTTCTCCACATCCTTCCTGAAATGTGGCGCCCAGAACTGGGCACAATCCTCCAGTTGAGGCCTAATGGGCGCGGAGTCAAGCGGAAGAATGACTTCTTTTGCATTTTGCTCAGCCGAGTGGCGCAAATCAGGGCCTGATCAATTTCACTTTCTGGGCCAGATCCCCCTCTTGTGTAAATCAGTGGTGCTCTAATTTACACCAACGGAGGATCTGATCCGTTTCACTGTCCGGGTCTCCCTGCTGAGGAAGGGATCCCCAGTGTAACAAGGGGCAGGTTTATACGCCCACCCTGTCTCCTTCCCCACCCAAATATTATTGGCGGGGGAGACACCACAGGCACATTTCTCTGCCGATTATTCCTGGACACAAAGATGGTGCCTCGAGATGCCTCCCCGCCGTGCCAGTGCCCCTCCCTCCCTCCCAGGGACCCGCCGGCTGGTACCTTCAGTCTCTTGAGGATGGCAGCAGCTCGTTTCTGGAGGTTGTCCCAGCGCTGGTTGCTCTCCTGGACTGCGGTCCTGAGCCGGCCCTGCAAACGGAGGCCGTTGGCCTGAACCAGCTGCCGGTACTGCCGGTTTAAGGACTCCAGATGGTGCAACTTCTCCTGGATCTGCCTTTGCAGCACCTGGAGGGAGAAAGGGACCCCAGCACTGGTGAGGAAGGGTGGCCTTGTTGTTGTTGTAGCCCTGGACTAGGACTGGCTTGGATGCTGGCCCCGCCGTAGACGTCGCCGCGTCGCTCTGTGCCTCAGTTTCCCCATCTGTAAAATTTGAATAATTCTCCCCTGTCTTGGGGTGGGAGGGGGCTGTGAGGATCAATTCATTAACAGTTGTGCTGTGTTCACGTACTGCAGTTGTTACCCTCTGGTGAGCATGTGTTACAGGCCCCCCCCCCCCGAGATCTGCAGAGCACATCCTGGGTTCTATTCCCAGCTCTGGCAGGGGAGTAGCGGCTAGTGGTTAGAGCAAGGGGCCTGGCGGCAGGACTCCTGGGTTCTGTTCCCAGTTCTCCCACTATGTAACTCTGCGGTAAGTCACTTTAATCTCTGTTTCCCAATCTGTCAAATGGAAATTACAAGGCCCGGCTCAGAGGGGCAGAAACCTGAGACGAAATGAAACGTTTGCAACGGGTTGCCGAGATCCTTGAAGCACTATGGAAACTGGAGACCTCGTTAGCCTCTTGCCAAGGGGAAGGACTGGGGGGTTATAAATGTTCCCCTTGTTTGATCTTCGGTGTATACAGCTTTTCCTGCCACCTCTGAAATAAAAGGATTTCAATAAACCACAACTCAAAGACACCTCTGCTACTGAGTGTCTCCCCTGAGGTCTCTTTCAAGAGACTTCTTGCCAACCCTGCCCTACCCTGGCTGCGCCAGCATCACTGCGCAGAAGAAATCATTCAGTTTCTTCCAGTATTATTTAATAGGTGTATTACACTACCATCTACTGTCACCATGCTGAGCCCTATTAGGTTAATTACGGTTGTAGCTACCAGTCGCCATCCAGGAGCTAGGCCCCATTGTGCTGAGCCTTATTAGGTGTATTATGGTAGTATCTATAAACCCTATTGGAGTTTGGGGCCCTATCAAGCTAGGCCTTATTAGGTGTAATACAGTAGCATCTACCATCCCCATCACGCCTTGTCTTACTATGTATATTACAGTAGGACCAACATCCGCATCCCAGAATTGGGGCCCCATCAGCTGGGCCTTATTATGTATATTAGGGTAACACTGACATCGCCATTCAGGATCGGCACCCCATTGTGCTGGGCCTTATTATGTATATTATGGTAGCACCTACATCCCCATCCATTGTGCTGGGTCCCGCAAGAGGCGGTCCCTGCCCCAAGTCTAAATAAACAAGAGATGGGAGGGGAAACTGAGGCACAGAGCAGGCCAGGGACTGGCCCAAAGACACTCAGCAGGAGGGTGGCAGAGCTATGAACACAACCCTGGTGTCCTGAGTCCCAGTCTAGTGCTCCATCCGCTGGGCCACACTGCCCCCTCCCCTCACTCCCATCCTCACCTCAAACTTTTTGAGCTCCTCCTTGGCCACAGCGAAGGGCACCTGGGAGGACGCAGGGGAGGCGGCCCACAGCTCCGCCCCCCGCAGCCAGTCTTGGAAGCGGGACAGGGAGTCCAGGACCCGCTCGTGCAGCCGGCAGGCCTGCTCGGCCCTGCAGGGAGACAGAGAGGAGCCTCACAGCGCATGGCGATCCAAGCTTCCCCCCTGCTGCCACCCACAGTGTCATGAACGCCAGCGACACCTGCTCCCCTGCCGCGCCAACAGAGCGACTGTAACTGACCAGGGACGGGGAAAGCCAAGGGCCTGGAAGCTTGGCACAGCCGCAGGGGACATCTGGCATCGCTAGAAGATATAGACTCACCCGCACCAGCCCCCACCCCTCTCCACTCCACCAGAGCCCAGCCCCCCTTCCTTCTCCCCACTGCATCCCACCAGGCCTCCTTCCCTCCTCCCCCCACATCCCAGCCCCACTCCCAGCTCCCTTCATCCTTTCTTTTTCCTGCTGCCCACAAAATGACCCCCCCCCAAAAAAAAAGTAACCCCAGGGACCCAAATCCCCACAATCCTTTGCATCCTCTAAGGATTCTGGGAAGAGGTGGGTCATTGGGCATCTGGCAGGTGGTGGGACACAGAACGGCCGACACTCCCCTATGCCCTGATACTGGGCGGCGTCTCCCCCCTCCCCAAATACCAGAGCCTGGATCTCAGCCTCACCTGATCCGTTTCTCCACGGAGGCGGTGCAGACGCTGCAGCCGGCCTCGTCGGGCACCGGCTCCCCCCGGTGCATGGAGAGCATCCGAGATTTCAGAAGAGCCGGGCTGAAGCTCTGGGCCACGCTGTCCCTCTGCATTTCTGGCTCCCCCCCACTTCACAATCCCCGCGAGCGTCTCGGGGATGCCTGGGCATCTGGACAGAGCCTGGGCATCGGCAGGGGGCGCATGATTGCCCCTCCCGGGAGCGGGTCCGGCCAATCCTGTCTGGGCACAAACAGATCTCACCTGAACAACAGGGCCGCCGCTCGCAGCGCTGGGAGAGCCGCACGGCAGGGCTGCCCGGAACCCAGATGCGGGCCCCTGCTGGGGAGACAGGAACTCCTAAGGGCAACAGGTGCAGAGAAAATCCAGCCCCCCCCCCCGGGGGAGAACGCTCTGCTCTCGTAAATTACAGCCACGCTGGGAGGCCCCTGAGTCACAGGTATTCCCGAAGGAGGGAGGGAAGGGTATCACTGCATGGAGGCGCTTCGAAATAGGTGGAAACTAGTCTCTGCAAATCCATCACACACACACACCCCCCAATGCTCCCCAGGCAGTATGGAGACGGCATAAGGAGCAGCTCAGGGGTGTGGACTATTCGCTGCCCCCCCCAGGGCCCATAGGGATGGATTGGGGGTACTGCACTGTGGTTATTCTCTGCCCCCCCAGGGCCCATAGGGATGGATTGGGGGCATTGCTGGGGTGCACTGCCATTGTTCTCTGCCCCCCAGCGCCCATAGGGGGCAGATTGGGCATGTAGCCAGAGGACACTGCACGGAGGCTATTCTCTGCCCCCTGGGGGCGGATCAGGGGGTATGGCCAGCGCACAGCGGCTATTCTCCCCCACCCCCCCAATCACTTAGAGCAGCTGTGAGGCTGCTCTAACCGCTGCAAAAGGGCCAGGCAGGGCCTAGAATACAGAGAGTGCAAAGGAAGTTTAAAGCCACCAGCCGCGCCCCCACATGGGCAGACAGGGTAAGTGACAATCAGGGCCTGTATTCCGTGGGGGAGGTGGCGGGGCTAACAGCAGCTTTGCGGCCACTTTGCACTGCCTCTGGCTGCACAAGAGGGCGGCCAGCAAGGTCAGGGAGCCATGCGTTTGCAGATGGCGTGCCTGCGGCACATCAAATTAGCAACCTAGACCCAGGAATGGTGCCCGGGGAGACTGAGTTGAACATAGGGTGGGAGGAGGCAGTGGTAGGGGTGTGGTAAAGGTGGCTGGAGGAGAGGGGAAGACTTTTTAAAGATGTCCTGCAAATAAGGTTACCATATTTTCGGTTTCCAGAAAGAAGACACTGACCCGGGGGGGGGGGGGGAATTTGGGGGGTGGGGGGGGGGCCTGGGGGGGGGGGACTCACGGGGGGGGGGGGGGCAGCGTCACTCCCTGTCATGGTGGCCAGTGCAAGCCTAGGACGCAGCAACAGCCGGTCAGCACCTCCCTGTGGGACCCCCCTCCCCAGGGCTGGGAGCTAGTACCCAGGTGGGCAGGATCCTGCAGCTATGGCTTCAGGGGAACGGCCCAATCAGCTGCAGGGGAGCGGACCAAGCGGGACTCTTTCTGAAACGCGACGTCTGCTCTACAAAAATCCTGGACGTTACCTGTTATTTGAAAAATCTGCCCCGCCAGAGGACGGAGCCTCAAAAGAGAGAGGCGACGTCCGGGAAAACCCGGACGCGTGGTGGTAACCCTACCTGCAAAGGAAAACAAAATAGGGCGTGGGTCCCTTTAATTTGGCTTCCTTGGTTCCCTGTGCTGTTGGAGATCCTGCTTCCTAGAATCCAAGGCCAGCGGGGCCCATTGTAACCAAGTAGCGTGACCCGCCGCTTAGCACAGGCCAGAGAACATAAGAACGGCCAGACTGGGTCAGACCAAAGGTCCATCTAGCCCAGTATCCTGTCTTCCAATGCCAGGTGCCTCAGAGGGAATGAACAGAACAAGGAATCATCAAGTGATCCATCCCCTGTCGCCCATTCCCAGCTTCTGGCAAACAGAGGCTAGGGACACCATCCCTGCCCATCCTGGCTAATAGCCATTGATGGACCTATCCGCCGTGATTTTGTCTAGTTCTTTTTTGAACCCTGTTATAGTCTTGGCCTTCACAACATCAAAGTCCTGCCCCAAAATAATCCCTAGGCCAGATCTCTTAGGAAAATACCCAGCCCTGGTTTAAAAATCGTCAATTCAATTTGAAGAAAGGACTGGGACTGTTCAGCTCAGCAAAGAGACGACTAAGGGGGGATGTGAGAGAGGTCTAAAAAAATCATGACTGGTTTGGAGAGTGTGAATAAGGAAGTGTTATTTACCCCTTCATATCACCACAAGAACCAGGGGTCACCCAATGACATCAATATGCAGCAGGTTTAAAACAAGCATAAGGAAATATTTCTTCACCCAACACACAGTCAACCTGTGGAACTCATTGCCAGGGGATGTTGCAAAGGCCAAGACTATAACAGGATTCAAAAAGAATTAGGTAAGTTCCCGGAGGATAGGTCCATCAATGGCTATTAGCTAATATGGTCAGGGACGCAACCCCATGCCCTGACTGTCAGAAGCTGGGAGTGGACAAGGGATGGATCACTTCATAATGCCTGTTCTGTTCACTCCCTCTGAAGTATCTGGCATTGGCCACTGCCGGCAGACGGGATACTGGGCTAGATGGCCTGATCGTCTGACCCACTATGGCCGCTCCTACGTTCAGTGATGGAGAATCCACCACGACCCTCGGTAAATTGTTCCAATGCTTAATTAGTCTCACCGTAAAAATCTACGCCTGATTTCCAGTCTGAATGTGTCTAGTTTCAACGGCCGTGGGATCGTGTCATGGAACGGCTCCTGTTGCTGGTATGGCTGGTCTGCAGACAGGGGCCCCATCAGCCACCAGTGGAGCTTTGCATCCCACGACCGTCTGAGATCTCATTAAAGCCAAAGCGGCCTGGCCCGCACGCTCCTTCAGTCATCCAAGCCCCCTCAGGTAGTGAAGGCAGCTGCTGACGATCAGGGGTGCCCGCAGACTCGCAGGTCAGAGGGTGGATGGACGGTTGCCAACACAAGGGTGAGGAGACGGGCTGTAGGGCGTGGCTGGCAGAGGCAGAGCGCCAGGGGAACAGAGTTTCAGGCCCGAAGGGAGCATTAAATCATCTAGCCTGGCCTCCCGCAGAGCGCCCAACAGGACATTCCATTCCACCGAAATACCCCGACACGGAGCTCGACTGAGCTCAAACTGCAAACCATAGGTAGAGACCAGCAGAGGCCCAGCCCGAGGCCCATACCATGGCAGAGAATTGATTAAGTGAGATTTGCCCAGATGATCCCAGCAAATGACCTGTGGCCCATGCTGCAGAGGAAGGCAAAAAACAAGGTACTTGCCAATCTGACCTGGGGGAAATTCCTTCCTGGCCCTGAATCTGCATCAGTTGGACCCTGAGCATGTGAGCAAGGCCCACCAGTCAGGCATCTAAGAACACCCCCAGCGCTGGTCCACTCCATCCAGTGTCTCGTCTCCAGCTGTGGCCAATCCCCGATGCCTCAGAGGAAGGTGAAATCTGCCCTCCCTGCCTCCAGATTACAACTGTGCATCGGGGGGGGGGGGGGGGGCGAGAAAAACCTTCCTGACCCTGCAAGCAACTGACTGACGCCTTGAAGCAAGAATTATGAGCGTGACCATTAGAAGTAGCAGAGGGACAGGGCTTCTTGGGCACAGAGCCCACTGGATGGGCAGACATGGGGATTTCTGAGCGAGGAAGGTGCCTACTGCCATTTCTTCCTACTGTGTTCAGGGACACGGGACTTTCTGCACATTCCGTGTAAACAAACCCCCTGGCAATCACTGATTTTTTCCTCCTAATAGAAATAACCCTGCAAGGCCCCCAAATATTGTCTAAGGGGCTCAGGCCAAAGGGGCAACACTAGTATTACTAGGTGTATTACGGTAGTGCCTAGGCACCCCAGTCATGGACCAGGACCCCATTGTGTACATTTGCTTTCCGATTAGGTGTATTACGGTAGCGTCTAGGCAGCCTAGTCCTGGACTGGGGTCCCATTGTGCCAGGTATGGTACATTTTGATGGCTATTGGGTGCATTACGGTAGGGCAGAGGGCATGCCAGCAACAGCCCAGGACCCCACTGTGCTAGGCGCTGTACAAACAGGCCCCTCCTTAGAGAGTTGCCGATCCAAGTACAAGACCAGGTGGAGACAGACAGACCCGAGGGGGACACAAGGAGACAGTGCTGGGCAGTGGGACGGGCAGCGGTCTCACCAGCCCCCAATCAGTGCCAGCTCTAAACTCCCGCTGCGGCACCCGCCTCCCCGCTGGCTCAAAGATCTCGGTCCTACAGTGCTGCCTGCCTGCTGCAGCGCCTGCCCCGAACCAAAACTGACCGCCCAGGGATCTGCCACGGCCAGCGGGGAACCGCCTTTCATCTGCCTCCTCCTTTACCTGCCGCCTCCTCTGCCAGCCAGCAGAACCGAAAGCCAAACCCCGCAGCCCATCGGCTCCAGCCCGGGCCGAGCCAACCGCCCTCCTCCCCGTCCTGCCTGTTTCCTTGTTTGTTCCTTAGCTGCTTCTGTACCAACCAACACGGGATTTGTTTGTTGTGCCTCAGGAGGCCATAACTCGCCCCACCCCTGATTGTAGCTCAGCCGTTTCTAGGCCACCTGCTTGGTTCGCGAGCTGGAGCCTGGCCTGGGCGTGTCGGGCGAGCGCTAAGAAGCGCAGGAAAAGATCCCCCTTTGCCCAGCATTGCACGGCCAGCTAAGGGAACAGTGGGGGGGCATGGATAGATTACGGGGATGGATGACACCCAGGCACCTTAATCGGGGGGGTGCCCGTCGTCTCGTGAGCTTCAGCCACGTGTCGAAGGCACAAAAAGTCAAGGGCAAAGCCAGGATTAGAACCCAGCATTCGCCCGCCTCGCAGCCCCTTGCGCTAAACGCTTTAGAAGGGCCCTCCACAGTGCTTTATTTTTGACAGAGCTGCGCCCCGGCCCCTCTAAGCTTGTCAGTTCATAGCCCGGTATTCGGTCCCTGACTAAACCACTAGACCCCACTCCCCTGCCAGAGTTAGGGATCGAACCCAGGAGTCCTGATTCCCATCCCTGACAAACCCACTAGACCCCACTCCCCTGCCAGAGTTAGGGATCGAACCCAGGAGTCCGGATTCCCATCCCTGACTAACCCACTAGACCCCACTCCCCTGCCAGAGTTAGGGATCGAACCCAGGAGTCCTGATTCCCATCCCTGACTAACCCACTAGACCCCACTCCCCTGCCAGAGTTAGGGATCGAACCCAGGAGTCCTGACTCCCAGGCCTCCCTGCTCTAACCACTGGACAGCACCGTCCTCTGATAACTGGGAAAAGAACCTGGGA